ATCATGTCTTCATATTGGCTTTGGGTTTCCTGGTAGCAAGGGCAAAAAAGGGAAACACAAGGGGTTTCATTATTTGCTTCTTCTATTTTAAAAAGGGATAACTCCTCCAGAGGAAAAGGCTAACTTCCCAGCCCTAATTCCCATGGAACAACCTGGCCTGGTGATCAGGAGCCCGGCAAGCTTGCCAGGTCTCAGAAGTTGCACCCCCTGAGCCGTCTCCCTTCTTGCCTTGAGCGGTACAGGAGGCTGTGGTTGCCCTACTTGCAGGAAGCTCGTTTCATGGGAGGTGGGCGACCCCAGAGACACCTTGGTCTGAATCTGCTGGGAGGGCAGGCGCATTCCCCAAAGGGTACCATTGTTCCTCGTTACCTCGGGGACGGCGCCAGGACCCTCATGGGTACCAAATCCTGCTCCCTTCCGGTCCCTGAGGTAAGTGGCACAGTGTCTGTGAATCATCCCTGCACCTTCCGTGTCCTTTAAATGACACCTATCGATCCCCAGTACCAAAAAAAACCACCCCAAAACAAATAAATGACATCTAGATTCCTCCCAATCCTAATATAATGTGCATGCTATGAATAGTTCTTATGAGATACTGTTTGGGGAATAAGGACAAGAAAAATACCTGTAACGCATTTAGTACAGATATATTTTTGTTGTTGTTGCTTTGGTTTTTTGAGATGGGGTCAGTCTCCCTATGTAGTCCAGGCTGGCCTCGAACTCACGACGATCCTCCTGCCTCAGCCTCCCAAGTGCTAGGATTGCAGGTGTGCACCACCACGCCTGGCTTTTTTATATTTTTGATCCTAGGTGTACGGCACTCAGGGATTCGGGTACTGTGGGCTGCACAATATTTCAGCCTCACCAAGGGCTGAGGTTGTCACTTCCGCAGGGGTCGCAGTCGGGAGGTCCCCAGGAAGGGGCCCGAGGCTCGGGGAGGTCTGGACACCGAGCAGAGGGACAGCCGGATGTCCCGACAGGAAAGGTACAGGGCGCTGCGGCCGGTTGCAGTCTCGCCCGGCCACGTCTGAGTCACAGCAGCCTGTGGTGTCCATGGCTCCCCGGAATGTCGCAGTGGACAGGGTTCCGCCTGGGGCCGCGTGTGCCACCTGGGCTCGGCCACCGCTTTGAAACAGGCTCTGTATGTGAGCTGGTGAGCAACAGCCTTGGGAGTCCTTGTCCTCAGCCTCTGTTTCCCCATCTGAAAAATGGGCCTGGTCCTGCGGTGACTGACAGCCAGTCCTGTGAAGGTCGCCATGGCTACAGGAGGACCCTAGAGTAACTCAGTATAAGAGAGAGAGAGCCGTTTCAGGCCGGTGACGCTAAACAGACATTTTGCCAATAAGACTTGAAGTGCTGGCTGGGCACAGGGGCGCATGCCTATAATGCCAGCGCTGGGAGGCTGAGGCAGGAGGATGGCAAGTTTGAGGCTGCCTGGGGAGAATAGCAAGACCTCGTTTCAATAAAGAAAAGCAAAATCCCAGCACTCTGGAAGGCTGAGGCGGAATGATCGTAAGTTGGACCCCAGACTGTGCAATGTAGTGACAGTGAGACTCTGTCTCAAAAGCTTGAAAAAGTAAACATGTCCTGGGGATGTAGCTCAGTGCAAAGGCCCTGGGTTCAGTGCCCAGTACCAATACATAGATAAATAGATAGAAAGATAGATAGACAGATAAATAAAAAGGAAGGAAGAGGTCATTAACTACCAAAGGTATTTACCCCCAGCGATAGCTCACGATCTGCAGACTGAAAGATCTGCCTCGTGAAGGGTAGAGAAGATCATTAAAGCTCACGCTAACAGAGACCCCTCGAGGAGTACAAACGGGCGAGTCTTTCCGGGGCGACGCAGCAATAGCATCAAAAGCCCCAGGTTGCACAGACTCGGAGACCCGGGGTGCGGATCTTCTGTCTGCCCGTGACCGCGCGCGCTGCTCGCTCACAGTCCGGGGCTCGGCGTGGGCGCTGGGGAGGCGCCTGCTCCGGGTGAGGACCCTCTGGAGCGCGGGCGTCTTTCTCTGGGGTCCCGAGCCCGTCCCCTTCCTCCATCTGCAAGGCCAGCGGGGCCCAGTGGCTCCGTCTCCCACCGCGCCCGGCTCTTCCTGCTCCGAGGGCCCCGGGGTTACACCGGGTCCGCCGCGCAATCTGCTACTTGGATTCCCGGGTGGTGCATTCCCAGGCTCCGAATTCGGACGTCAACACTGCGGGAGGCCTCTGTGTGTTTACCGCAGCAGAAACCCCACTTCTGGACATTTCTTCTTAAGCATATAACTGAGGATGTATAGCAATAGGGAGTAACGTGGCACCAGGCTTTCATTAAACATAGTAGTGGACACCACTATTCAAAGACAGAAAGCAGGGGCGGGGCGGGGTGGCCCATGCCTGTGGTCCCGCCTCTCTCGGGAGGCTGAAGCAGGAGGATCACGGAGAGTTTGACGCCAGTCTGGGGTGCACAGTGAGTTCTGGGGGTGTCTGTGGGTGACTGACATGCAGGCCAGCAAACCGAAAGGGGAAGACCCACCCCAGTTGTGGGTGCCACTAACTAACGGGGTTGTAGCCCGGATGGAATCAAAAGGGAAAGCAGAAGACAGGGAAACTGTTTTGAAGAGCTCGGATCTTCCTGGGAGGACTTGACAGGGTCTCGCTGTACAGTCCAGGCTGGCCCCGAACTCATGGAGATCCTCCTGCCTCAGCCTCCCAAGTGCTGGGATTACAGGCGTGCCCACCATGCTTTTTTTTGGGCACAGTTTCAGGCAGAATCTCCCTTGGGGTGGTTGAGTTTCTTCCCCTCTGCCTTCCTGCCTCCCCAGCCGCATCCGAGGGCCCTAGGGTAGCGGCCACCACTCTCCGAACCATGTGGGTGGTTCCTCGCCATCCCAGTGCTGCAGACGCAGGAGGACGAGCCACAGACCTATCCTGGCAGGTCAGGGCAGTGAGCGCTTCCAACTCATGTCCCCACTCTGCCCTGGTCAGATCCACGTAACAAAAATAATAATTGTGCCGGGCATGGTGGCCCACGCCTGCGATCCCAGCACTTGGGAGGCTGAGGCAGGAAGATCACCATGAGTTCAAAGCCAGTCTGGGCTGCATGGTGAGTTCGAGGCTGGTCTGAACTACGTGGCAAGATCCTGGCTAAAAAATAAAATAAAAGATAAAACTGATACTTTTTTTTTTTTTAAAGAAAAGCAAAAACAATAATAATAGTTGTTGAAGTGGGGGTTGCAGCTCAGTGGCAGAGCACCTGACTAGCATGTGCAAGGCCCTGGGTTTGATTCCCAGCACCACAAAAATAAATAAGTAAATAAATAAATAACAAAGAGCAGAAGATGAAATTTGTTGATGCTGAGCACTCACTACATGTACAACTCGTTCAGCCCCGACAGCACATTTGCAGTGCTGTAGTAACAAAGAGGCTACACGAAACCTGTCAGGCCCACAGCAAGGTCTTGATTTGCATCCAGGAGGCTGAGTCAGGCCAGCTTCTTCAACAGGGATGCAGAGATCACCTATGTGCAGGACCACGAAGGCACAAAGCCACTGTCCCTGCCATCCCCACCAGACTCAACATGGCACTTCTTAGCTCCATCTATTTTTATTTATTTATTTATTTATTTACTTGGGGTGTTTTTGTTTGTTTTTTGAGACACGGTCCCTCTATGTATCCCAGGCTGGTCTCAAACTCCCCGAGATCCTCCTGCCTTAGCCTCATGAGTGCTGGGATTACAGGAGTGAGCCACCAAGCCCAGCTTCATTTTATCTCTCTGTCCAACAGAAGGACATAGACCAAACCATGCCAGCGCTTCTCCCAACTCAGAGGAGCTTTTGCCTTTGCTGCCTCACTCTCCCCATCTGTCACCCCACACCTGACCTGTATTGTAGGCCAAGGACCCAGGATGTCACACCCTTGCATGGATCCCTGCAGGGCCCAGACTGCATTCGGCCGATGCACTCAGGGGAGTGGGGCCCAGGGGGGCAACACCCGGCCTAGTGCGGCTGGAGGTTGGTGTAGGCAGGGCACCCCAACAGCTGTGCAGCCACGCACCCCTGGGTAGTGCTGTGGACTCCCTGTCCTCGGAGAAGGGAGGCCACTGTGCTTGTCCCCTGGACACTGCTCTTGGAGGATCCCCAAGAAAGGAGTCGGTTCCTCTCCAGGCCCTCGACCTGTCCCCTGTCATCTCAAAGGCTTGCTGTGGCTCAAGCACTCAGGGGGACACCCAGCAGCATTTTGGGGGTGACTCCTGACTCAAACTGATGCCTCCTCCTGCTTCTGGACTCAGATGCCCAGGGCAGCCGGCGGTTTCCTTAGGGCGCCCCTGCCCTCTGAAGGCCTCTTGGGGTGTCTTGTGACATGGCTCATGCCTCTCTGGTGGTGGCGGGGGGCAGGGGGACACGGCAGGAAGCAGCGTCCTGGGGTGAGTCCCGACATCTGGAGCCCCAGAGTCCCTGCTCCCGGCGTCTTTTCTCAGCCTTCCTCGGAAAAGAAAAACAAGGGCAGAAACAGGGCTCTGCCCTCGCTCCCTGAACCCATCTGTCAGTCAGTCTGTCCCCCGGGTGTGACGAGGGGTGGCCCAGGGAGACTCTTTCCTCCTGGCTCGGGAGGGCCTGGGGCTGGCTGCGGGTGGCCACCCAGGTGTCACCCGCGGGGGACAGGAAAGACAAATGGTCACCGCGTTTCCCAGGGCCGCGGAAGAGAACCGGGTGGAAGACGCGCATGAGGGGTGCAGGTGGACCTCGGCCTCTGGGAGTGTGCCCATCACAGGTCGAGGGGTTGGGGACAGAAGGGACTTGCCGTGGTCCCCTCCAGGGAGCCTCGTGTGGGGGCTCGAAGGAGCCCACGCGCGGACCTCCCCGACCTGCAGCGTGGGTGGGGAGGGGGCGGTGCCGTCCCCGCCCCGCCCCCGGCCCTCCCCTCCCCTCCCCCAGGGGCGCGCGCCCGGCGGCTGGGAGGGAGGAAAGTTTCTCCCCGACGTGCGTCAGCGCTGGGCGGGCGGGAGGCGCGGGCGCGGGCGCGGGCGGTCTGGGACACGCGTGGGACCGCCCGGCGCCGCGGGCATGGACGGCGCCACCTTCGCGCTGGACAAGCCGGGGCCGGGGGACTGCGGCCCGGCGCGCACCAACTTCTCGGTGAGCCACCTCCTGGACCTGGAGGACGCGGCGGCCGGGCGGCTGGAGGCGCGGCCCGGGGCCGGGGCCGGGGCCGGGGCCGAAGGGCGGGAGCCGTCTGGGGGCAGCAGCGGCAGTGAGGCGGCGCCGCAGGACGGTGAGTGTGCGGGGACCCGGGGTGGGCCAGGGTCGGGACCCTGGGAGACCCAGCGCCAGAGCCCCGGGCGCCGGGCGCACCCCAGGGCGCTGGGCACCGCCGTGGCTCCGACCTGCCGGAGCCGGGGCGTGGGGGACCCGGCGGCCGGGCTAGGAGAGGCGACGGTGACTGCGGGTGCAGCGCTCCGCCCACATAGCCTGGAAGGCGGGTGCGGTTGGGTTACCGCGTGGGACAGCTGGGACTTCGGGGGGCAAAGCCAAAGCTCATGGAGCTGGGTTTCCAGCTCTGCCCCATCCTGACGCCCAGCTGCTCCTGGGTCTTACGTGGGTTTTGGGGATGCGCAGGCCGGTGCCTCGGAGGGTCCCCGTGGGGAATGGCCCGCCTCTAAGGAGCCAGCCAGGCCTCTCTTCCCCTGCAGGGGTTAAAGGTCATCAGGAAGGGGCTCTAAAAACAAACAATCCACCCAAGTGGCTTTTTTCAAAAAGTCACAGAGCCCTGAGGCCTTGGGAAGACGGGATGGGGGCAGGGAGAGAGCGGGGTGGGGGTGGGGTGGGGATAAGAGGGTCCCGGGCGGGGGGTTTCAGCGGGACCAGAGCAGGGGGCAGGAGGTCCCCACAGTGCGACCCCTCCTGAAGAGGAGGTGGGGTGGGTGGCCTGAGGCCATCGCCCCTGCCCCTGAGCTCTGGAGAGCAGACTGGCCTGCTGGAGGCCCTGGGCCCCCTAAGTTTGAGTCCCCAGAAGTACCTGGGGAGATGATGGAGGAGGGATTGGCTGTCCCCCACCTTTCCACCCACCCGGCACCCTGCTTCCTACACCAGCCTCCAGGTCCAGGGCGCCCAGGCTGGCTGTGAATTGGCATCTGACAGATGGGAGGTGCAGGGAAAAGAGGGGAACTGCACTACACTGAACCAAGGTGGGGAGCCCTTGGGTCCCCTCTGTCCCCACCCCACTGGCCTCTGTGGCCTCTGTCTCCATCCTCAGGGGCCCCACAGACAGCCCCTGGAAGCTGGGGTTCAGAGCCCTGCTGGAAAGGGGAGAGGCGTAGAGTGGGGTGCCCTTGGCTTGTGGGCTTGGGGGCAGACCCGGTGGGCTCTGGGCCAGCTCACTGCAGGGTGGAGGGAACAGACGTCCCGTTGTACCAGGCGATGGGAGAAAAAGAGGACCAAATGAAAGATGAAGGGAAAAAGGAGAGGGATGGCGGAAAGGAGGAGACAGAGGCAGTGACAAAGAGGGAAGAGGCAGGTCCTGGCCCTGCTGTGGGGACAGATGAGAAGCCTGGGCTTCTCCCCAAATCAAGAGCATGCAAGAACTCCAAACGGGGCCCATGTGGACCCCAGAACGGCTAGCGTCTGTGGGGGGTGAGGGCACCGGGACTGCAGCGGGGTGGGCAGTGTCCTGGGCCGGTCACCCTCCCAGAGAGCCACGAGGCCCTACACCAGTGCAGCCAGGTGCTGCCATGTGCAGGGCCAGAGGACACACTGGGTGTGGCCCAGGTGGGACAGAGTCCCAGCGCTCTCTGGCTGGCCCCTGTCTGGAAGCTTCACCCAGAGGTGCCCTGGGGACCTGGCGCCCGGTGGCAGAGTCCCCAGCCTGCTCAGTGGGTCGGGTTTTCGGGGAGGGAGTGGAAGGAGGAGGATGGGGTGGTTTCCTGTTTGTCGTCTGGTCAGGTGTCCCTTCCCACTGCCACTTAGGGTGGGGCAAAGGGACCTCTCTGTCCTCATGGTGAGCCCAGTGGCATCCTCCGAGCCTTTGGAAAGCAGCCTGGGTGTGGCTCGGGCAGAGCGTGAGGCCCTGGGCTCCATCCCCAGCACAGAGAGAGAGAGGGAGGGAGAGAGAGAGAGAGAGAGAGAGGGAGAGAGAGAGAGGCTGAAGTTGCTTGCTAAGACTTGACCCAGGATGCACATGTGGGTCCTGAGCTGTGACACTGACCATGTCCCCCTGCCCTGCCCTGGGCCTTGGGGAGCCCTGGCACCCCACAGAGGGTTCTGATGTGCTTGGAAGTGAGGTTTCCCATCTTCTAGGGCTTTTCCAGGACCAAAGAAAGAAGCTCCACAAGAGAGATGAGATGCCTCCCATTGGAAAAATAAGGGTCAGCAGGGGAACTAACTAATGAATTAGAAAATAGAGAGTGTCCAACCTGCCAGGTTAGCAGGCTCAGAATTTTGAAAGAGAAAGCAGTGTTTAAAAATCGGTTGCTTCCCACAGCCACCAGTAGATGTGGCCTGTTCCTGCCAGTGACTCTCCAAGCCCGGACTCCCCCAGAACTGGCCTGCCAAGCTGTGGCTTTGCTGGTGACTCAGAATAAACCGGGGTCTCGGGTTCCTCCCAAATCAAACGCTGAGGCTGCGCTGGGCCGCTGAGCTATGCCAAGCACGTTAGGAAAATAAACCGTCCATCGCTGCCGTCGCGATGACTTACAACAAAAGAAACCACATTAATAACGGAGAGTTTCTTTAAAGCATTCCCTCCTGTGGGCAGGGCGGAAACCGGAACGTAGACTCACTATGAAAATAAACACAGCCCCTGGAGCCGGGCGGGGGAGGCCCCAGTCCCCTGGAGGCTGGGCCACCGATGGCCACTGGTACCTGGCTGGAAAGAGCCCGGGCCCTGCTGCAGGAGGGACAGGGCGGGTCCCCAGTGAGCCACTTATCAGACGTGAAAAGAATGAGGCACTTGGGGTTGGGGCCCTGGGCTGAGCTGGGGCCCTCGGGTTGCCCTTGGGCAACCAAGTGGAGGGCTGGGGGACCCCTCACTTGAGAGCCTGGAAGCCTCGCTCTGTTTTCTGACTGCAGTAAAGATATGCCTGGCGTAGGATGTCCCATGCTAACGCCCTGCCTAGCACTGGGGAGGACATTCACACAGCTGGGCATCGTCACCGCCTCATCTCCGCAACCCGAAACCGAACACCCAACAGCAAACAGTCCCTTCTGAGGCTGGCTGTGGTGACACACGCCTGTCTTCCCAGCACTCCGGAGGCTGAGGCAGGAGGATCGCCCTGAGTTCGAGGCCAGCCTGGGCTACATAGCAAGACCATGTCTGAGAAAAGAAAACAACAACAAACCAAAAAAACAAAAACAATGACTTTCCACTCCTCTCTCCCCCCAATGCCTGCGGCTCCTAGAACTTCTGTCTCTAGGATCTCCATGTCTCTCGGTCCTAGACAAGTGGAACCCACAGTCTCGGTCCTTTTCTGTCCAGTGTGTGTGTTGAGGTTCATCCGTGTGGCACACGTGTGGATTTCTTTCCTTTTTTTTCTTTCGGTTGTTGTTGTTTTTGTTTTGAGTCAGGGTCTCGCTATGTAGTTCAGCTGTCCTTGAACTCACTGTGTCACCCAGGGTGGCCTCAAACTCTCGGCAATCCTCCTGCCTCAGCCTCCCAAGGCAGCGTGTGCCACCAGGCCTGGCAGTTTCTTTCCTTCTAAAGCCTGCTCCAGGCTTTACTTATCCATTCACTCCTCAGTGGATGCTGGGGTTGTACCATAAGCAGTGCTTGTGTGCTTTGGGCACTGAGGACTTGTCCACATCCCTGCTTTAAATTCTTTGGGGTGTGTTCCCCAAATGGAAGAACTCGGTCATTCCATAATTCTATGTTTAATTTTTTTTGTACCAGGGGTTGAGCCCAGAGCCTTTGTGCTGAGCTCCATTCCCAGCCGCTGCTCCCCTCTTGTCTTTTGAGACAGAATCTCTCTATGTCGTTATGTTGCTCAGACTGGGCTCAAATGTGTGATCCTCCTGCCTCAGTCTCCCAGAGTGCTGGGTTTATAGGTTTGTACCACCACACTCAGACCTGTTTTTTATTTTTTATTTTTAAAATTTTATTTATTTATTTATTTTTGTGGTACTGGGTATCGAACTCAGGACCTTGTGCTTACCAGGCAGGAGGGATATGTTTAATTTTTTTAAGGAACCGTTTTCCGCAGCTGACTGCACATTTAGACTGGCCTCATTGTAACCGATTTGGAAACATGGCCTGGGCCTAAGGCAGCCTGGGACACAGGGGCTGCAGCGCCCACCTTGGAAAGATGAGCTCACATCTGCCTTCCCTTTCTCCACTTCTCACGGGGGACAGGGTCTTGGCACCTGGTAACCAGCGGCCAGGCATCAGGGACCTGTGCTCAGGTCCCTGTGTTTGCTGCCCTTTCCATGTGGGGCTTTGGGGAAGCCACGCATACCCTCTCTGGGTCCCCACCCGACCGGGACACGTCTCACACGCACAGCTGCTGCGGTCACCGTGCCACTGGGCTCGCTGCCCCTCTCCTGGGGACGGGGCGTTGCCAAGCCTGGGTCCTCAAGTGTGTGTGGCACTCACTGCCCAGGGCGCAGCCATTGGGAGACAGTGAGGGGGGACCAGGCTGGTGGGGACAGCACCGCTGTGCAGCGTGGCCTGTGGCTTCCGGACCTGCCAGTCTGGCCATCCTGAGACCCTCTGGGGACCTTGGGACCTTGCACGGGGTGGGGGTTGGGGTGGCTGGGACCAAGTCCGGGCCTGCAAGGAGCCTCCCAAGGTGCGGCTGCACGCCAGCTCAAGCTGCCCCTCTCCCATCCCTGGGAGACTCTGGAACGTCTCCCTATGTAGCCCAGGGTGGCCTTGAACTTGTGGTGATCCTCCTGCCTCAGCCTCCCAAGTGCTGGGATGACAGGTGTGCGCCACCATGCCCGGCTATGTGACAGCTCCTAAGATGCTCACAGTGACCCCGAGAACCTGTTGTCCCTCGTGTTTGGAGGACCAGGCAGCCTGCACAGCTCAGCACTTGGCTGCTGGGACACTGCTGGGGCCGGGGCGTGAGGGCTGATGTGGAGGGGGCTGCTGTGGGTCTCTGGGTGGCAGAGGCAGAAGGAAGGGCAGAGAGTGGCTCGTCCTGGGCAGGGCCGTGAGCTCAGGCTGGACCAGGCAGGACTGGGATGGCATCGTGGAGTCCCACGCTGATGGGACAGTGGCCCTAGGTGCTGTCCTCCTGGCAGCCCTTGCAGCTGGCCCTTCCATTGTCCCCATTCAACGGA